ACATTTATTCAGCTTTGTCAGCATTGAATGGTCCATTACAATGGTTCCAAAAGAAAAAACAAAGTAATACATAGAATATGATTAATTAAAGGAAAAGTTTCCTGCACATTAATATCAATCAGTTATGTTGAACATTTAAAAATGGATAAAAGAAACGTTAATTTGCTCCTAACCATCCCATTTCTTTCTCTCTCAAAATTAAGGAGAGGGATTTTTTTCCCTTAAACCCTTACAAAAAAAGGTAAACCTTTAAATGGTGAAAAAATTTCTTTGAGACTACTGCTAATTAAAGTGATCATTCATAAACATTACCATTTATTCTTCACGTTGATTTAGGTCATCAATGCCATGTTTGATCTAAAAGAGCTATACCCATAACAGATATTCAACTTTTTTTTTTATACCCAAGGCCAACATCTGCCACGCATAAATTGTTCAATTTTTTACATCAAAACAAGATGTGTTGTTATCAATGTGTATATCGTTCGAGATTAGTCGGGATGACCACAACGAATGTGGTTCAGAAACCCTAATTGTTACTGAACTTGGCATTATAATATTGAGATCCATGAGAGCTAGTTTGAAAAAACTATCTTATAGCCTAGCATATATCATCGTCAAGAGGTGATGAATGGGGAAGGCAGGTCAAAGCTACATCATGAAATGGATGACTATATATGGCATGTTGTACACAAATCAAACGATGGGGGAGCAATGTTGAAAAAGGGGTAGCAAATAATATATAACACACCTTTGCATTTCTGTGTAATCATGATGATCAACTTGGACTAACATAGAACTGTTTTTGTTTTTCCACAGACAAAAACTGTGAGAGAGAGGGTCATTACACGAAGCCAAAAGCGACCTTGCAATGCATGTTTTCTCCTGAAAATGGTGGATTAAATTTGAAGCTTTTAGCTGAAACCAACACTAGTAGTTGTATTTTTTAATCTTGGGTGCTGCTTGAGCCCCCAGATTTTCGTTTTGCCCCTTTTGTTTACCAAACATTTTGGCCATTTTTGGCTCTTTTGCAAAGGTCTTACGTTACAACTTGCCAAAGCTAAAACTCAATGTAGTTAAGTGCATGTGTCCAACGCCAACCCTTTCCATCTGCATGCCTTAAAAGCCCAAAAAACATAAGAAAGAAACAGCCCCATTGAAATGCCTTGATTGCCTCTGTCACAGCTGTTTAACAATACCTACCCTTCTCCATCTCCAAAAGGACCATAACCGAAAACAACTTTGATCCATTTCCCATATTATCCCTTTCACCTTTTACCCAAATATACGGCAAATTTATGGGTTCCATTAATGTCTTTTATTTTGATAATTGAAGGAATATATTTTATACTATTTGCAAATGTTTCCTCTCTCTTTTCTTTCATTTTCTACCATATCCTATCGAAGTTATTGCATTCCTCTTACGGAAACCAACCCTGGGAAATTCAAGCTTTTCACATTTTAATTGCCATTGTTGAATTCAAACGGAAATCAAGAGAAAATTCAAATTCCCGAGACCAGATGAAGTCTATGGGCGCTTGCTAATAGGCACGCTACAGTAACAAGCTGAAATGTATATAATATATATATGTATAGGTATAGACGGTAGGTAAATGAGTGCTGAAAAAGTCATGTTCAAGTCTTTTTTTAATGTAATTTGTCTTTATAATTGTAGGAATAAAAAAAGAACAAGAAAAAAGAGAGAGACCAAGTTGAAGAGTCTAGCTATACCAATTCCTCATCGTAATAACATAAAGTGTCCTTTGTCTGCCGCGATGAGTATATCCATTCACATTAATAGTGCCGCTATTTCTCTCTTTTCAATCCTTCTTATTTTAGCTATATATATAACTTGCAATTTCTATGTAGTGTTGTTCTTTAACTTATTGACAAGCAAATCTATTCTTTTATAGTTTGAATATATTATACAGGTATGTACACATGAGATGCAGATGTTTTGTCCTCTTTCGACCAAAAAGTGATTCTAGTTTGAAGTACTATGATCATATGATGAGTTGGCAAGTTGCAAATGATGCATGCAAAAAGCCTATATTAGAAGAGAATATGGAATAGTGAGGCAAGTACCAAGTAGGGTAGAGCAATATATAGAATGATTTTTCGTCTTTGACCCAAAAGGAAAAATCAGGGTAACCTTGGTGGATTTGCTCATACTAGGCAGAGAAGCAAAAGAAAAATCAATAGGAGACTGTATGGTAAAAAAATAAAACTATGGATTTTTTTTTAAAATTTTGTTTAAATATATATATAAAAAAAGGGTTTTATAGCCTAAAACATATTAAACGTAACAATTTTTGTTCGATTATGAGCATGATTTCCACGTGTCGATTCGTTTTTGAGTAACGCTCTTTCTTTTCATTTACGTTTTCTTTTTTATTTATATTCGACAAAATCTATACATTCACTGCCTCCATTATTATTTTAGAACAGATAGCAAAAATGGTGAATAATCAAGGAAGAAGCAAGTTCATCTCATTGTTAGGTGTGGAGCAAGGGGAATCTGGAGTTATTAATGGATTGATTAGGGTTTGTGAAGCCATATGCTCTTGTATTTGGAAAAGTAAGTGTCATGATTTCCATCTAAAAACTTTGCTTGCTTTTTATACCAAGATTTGATGCAAATTATATATGATTACAACTATTGTTTGTGCATGTTTTAATTTTTTGTAGGTTTTGTGATTTTTCTTGGAAGAGTATGGTACATATATTTCCCTTGATATATTAGAAAAATACTTCTAAAAATATAAATAATTTTTCACCTAAAATAATTGTTTTGCAGACCTTATATATATATATATATATATATATATATATATATTTGGGCAGGCAGCAAATGAGCATATAGCTGGAGCCATGCAAATTAGCCAAATTTCCTATAGTTTGTAACTACTAAAGTTTGAATAACTTTAATTAATAAATAAGCTACAACTTGTAGTTGTATGGAAATAATGTTAAGGGGATTCGAACATTGCTTCTTTTTTAAATAAAGAGATCATGCACTAGCTAATAAGTTAAATATTAAGACGTAATACTAACATATTAATTCTTATAGAATAATTTCATTTTTATTAATTTAATTTTCTTTTAATATTTTTCTCTTTTATGTTTTCTTGTTAGATATATAGAGGTTAATAATAAATTAACACTCAGATGTAATAAATGGCCTAATGATTTTAGTTTTCATTATATCTGTATTCTGTCTTAATTAGATATTAATTTGTGGTTAGTTTAATACGAAACTAGAAATTTAAAATATAAGGCAAAATAGCTCGTGTGATAATTTTTCCAGTAGTTGCATGATTGGCCTTGTGGATATTCCTAGACAAAATACTAACATTTAAGGTAAAAAAAATTCAAATTAATCAAAAAAATATGATGTAATATTATTTTTCACAAATTAAGCCATGTGAAAACCAAGGAAATAAAAGCTGCCCAGGTGTATGAAATGACATGCAGAGTATGCTTTAGTGGGATTGCAATTTCACAATCTTATTTTACTTTTTCTTGAAATTAGTATGAGAATATAATTAACTTAATTACCTTAATTTTTAGCCCCAAACTAGTGTAATATCTTGAGCTTTCTTTAATTTATTTCTAGTTTTCAAGGTTTTTTTTCTTTTTTGCATTGTCAATATTAAAATGTTCATATGTTAGAATACTTATACTGATATAGAAATAAGAGGAGTCTTTGTGTATTTAATTTACCAAAACATCAACAATAGGATTCTGGTAAGATTATAGATTTAGATTCATAACTGACCTAATACTTTAGTGTTCAAATTTTGTAACAATTAAAAGTTATATCTGTTGGATTAAATTCCATCAAAACTATGATGGTTTTTAATTTTTTATATGCATACTCATTCTTGAATTTAAATTAGGATTTTTTTTCAATAAAAAAAGGTAAATCCCACATTACTTAATGGTTTACTGTCTTTCAATTAAAGGTTGAAACGTTGAAGACAAAATAATATCCAAGCAATTGATCCCTCACATGAAAAACATTAACAATTGAAAAATGGATAGTGAAAATTAAAATAAAAAATTCAATTTTAAACAAAAAAAAAAAGAAATGGGATGAAAATATTTGTAGGACACTGATTTTTGAACTATTTTTGAAAGCCACAGGTGTTCTGTGTTTTCTATATGTTTATTTTTGTATAAAAGTGAAAGTTCATTAGGTTTTGTAGTATTTAATAAAAAGTCATTATTTTGGATTCCATAGTCATATATATATATATATATATAAAAAAAATTCTTTTTAATTCCATGAATTTCAATTCTTTTATTTCAAAATTTGAACTTGAACTTTATACATTAGAATATCAAGTCACAATAATTATAATATTTACTTACAGATAATGATACATGACTGTCGGTGAATCTTTTAATCATGTATGTTTCAATACGAGAAATTATTAAATTTGGAGATCCTAAAACAGTCATGGGCTGCTAACCTTACTTATTAGGTTCGACTATGACTTTGAAGGCAGGAGCATGAATATAGCAAACAAAGTGTTTAGTTGTAAGAAAACCTCAACAAACATAGTAAACATTGGAGGACATCCAAATAAGAAACTATAGCCCTAAAAACGAAAAGGCCTAACCATAAATACCACCAAATTCCCACCACTTCCGAGAATCTTCACAAGCAAGACTTGAGACTCCTCCTCCTGAGTGTTTTGTTTCTTTGTGTTGGGGAATAAATGGAAAAAGACAAGAAGGAAGCAACAATACCAACCATTTGTGAAAATTTCCCAAAACTCAAGTCCTCAACTGCAAACACTTCTTTTCCATGCACACATCAAAAAAACACCTGCGGAATTATGCTCTACAGTTGGGGTGCAAGGGTGATGTTGTAAAAAACTCAAAAATGCAAGGGCAAAATAGGGGAAGCAAAGGTGGGGGATATAGGTAGAGAGAGAAGAGAGAAGAGAGAAGAGAGAAAGAGAGAAGAGAGAAGAGTTGGATACAAAATCCGCTGTTTGAATGGCCCATAGATTTTGCAGGGGAAGCAGTATCCAAGACTATGGCCCCTGGTTTTCACTCTCTCTCTCAAAAAACAACTGTTCACTCTTGCCCTTTCATCCTAACCCTAGCATTTCCTTCCTCCTTCTTCCCTCCGTTTTATACCCCTTCATTTCCTCTTCTTTTTCTTCACCAACAGAGATGCCAACTTTCACATCTCTGTCTTACCCTCCCTCTACTTGTACAAAAATCACATCTTGAATTACAAAAGGAGAATAAACATATTTTCTTTTTGACACTTTTTCCTCCCCTGCTTCCCCTGTTTTCCTCTGTTTTTCCTTGTTCATCCCCATTTCTTGATTTTTTTCACTCTCTCTTTGAAACCCAGATTTTAATTTTCAATTTTTAAAACTTCTCAGAAATACCCATATCGAAATTTAGCTCTTTTGTCTATGCCCCTGATAGAGTTGATTCAAAATTCAAAGGAAACACCTGAAGGCTGAATGGGGAGAGCAGCTTTGGCTGATATAAAAGGGAAAGATTTTAGCGAATTGGCTAAGGAAACCAAAACAAATACAGAAGATACAAATAAAGTTTCCAATACGAATAAGAACAGGAGTACTACTACTTCAGATAGCAGTAGAAAGAAGAGCCGTCGGCGGCCTAAGAAGACGACGATGCCGGCTGCAGTCATGGTGTCGCCGGTTCAAAGGCTTTTCGATACTTGCAAGGACGTTTTTGCTTTAGCTGGGACTGGAATTGTCCCTACTCCGGATAAAATTGAACAGCTAAGAGCTGTTTTGGGTATGTTTTGATTGTAGCTTTGTTGCGTCATAGGATAGTTTGATTTTAGTGTCTAAATGTAGTTAATTGATACCCAAAGTTGTTAATTGTGTTAACTTTTAATTGATTTGGAATGGGTTCTATGTGTCAATTTTGATTGAGTTTTAGTGTTTTTGCTTAGCTAGTTGTTTGATCAAGCAATATGAAATTTGTGAATTTGGTTCAGCATTCTTTGTGAATGTTTTTGTCTTTTGATAATGCTATATCCTTTTAACATTGATGAAATAATCAAATATGTTACCATCTTTCATGATTTTTTTTTTAATTTTGGGAAAATGCCGTCTTTCAATATATATACATATTTTTCACTAATTTTCTTTTCGAACGAGTCATCTAGTGGCATGTAGTCATTGGCTTTCCACTCATTTACCTATTCATTTGTTAGGGTATGAAGATCATGAGGAATGTGATATCATAAACCAGTAGTTACTGATGTCACATTATTTTAGAAGATAAGACGGTAAAACAAAATGTTGGGAAGTGTACCATTACTCTTGTTTTACTGCTTCTTTTGAATATTTGTGTTTTGGGGTGCGTGCATTGTTATTTTATTCATGTCGTTCTTATTGCATATGATTCATTGATATCCGTTAAGGCTTTCGTTCATTCATATTTTGTGTACTTTATGTTAGTTGTCGGTTAAAGTATTTCAATAAATAATGTTTCATTTTGATATTACGTGTTTCAGATGTGGAAGGAAAGATATCTTGTATCTGTATCCTATGTCTAATATTTCTTTATGGTGTGTAACTGGAAAAAGTAGAAGGGAGCTTTTTCTTTTCTTCGGATAAGTAGAAGGAGCATTCATTTTGTATATAGCCATTCGGGTTGCTCTAATTTTGATGCACGTTAGTTATGTCTGATGCTAACTCCCCCATCATGTTCCTGCATTTTGTTCTTCTGTAGACAGTCAACGTGGTTGTTTTCATCAATAATCAATTGCCACTATAATTCAAATAAAGTTATTTGGCTTTCATTAATTGTTATCTTCTTTTTTAAGTAAAAACGTCCGTAGAAAAGATGCAGTTTTTTGTTAATTATCTAAAGAGTGCAATGTTGTAACTAATGGAGATATAGCCAAAGAACAACAATTACATGAACTATATAGATGCTACTTGTATGACACTGACTACTGTCTCTTCTTTTGTGTAGATCAAATCCAACCAGCCGATGTTGGTCTTACTCCACAAATGCCATTTTTCAGTCTGCCAGTAACTCGGCGAGCTCCGCCAATAACATACCTGCACATCCATGAATGTGAAAAGTTTTCGGTACATCCATCTTTATTGAAATGCTTTTGTGATCTTTAGGAAACGTAAGCCGAAATCTGTTGACTTCATGTAGTGTGTCTTAGTTGGGGTTTGTAAAAATTTTCATTTATTGCAGATGGGCATCTTTTGCTTGCCGCCATCTGGTGTCCTTCCACTTCACAATCACCCTGGAATGACTGTTTTCAGTAAGCTTCTCTTTGGGACTATGCACATCAAATCATATGATTGGGTGGTTGATGTGCCTAGCAATGCATCAGCTGTTGTGCCTCCTTCACAAAGTAAGTGTTTTTTGCAAGGTCAAATGTTTTTTCTATTGCTTCTAAGCGGTTGTGTTCAAACTCATTCTCTTTCCAGCCATGTAAAGGGTGGGTCTTCCAGATGTTTATGCTGTTGGTCTTGAGATACTGCAAAAGATATCTCATGTAAAAGGCCAGCGAACTTCCACTTCTTCAATAAATAAGAAAAGGAAGGCAATTTCTACTATTGCCTGATGAATTGACTTCCAATTTCTAATTTAAGTTTGTGGATACAGGACTAGTGGCAGGGCGCCTAAGAAAAAATTAAGAAAAAGAGGGCAAGGGAGGGGTGAAGAAATAGAGGAGCAAATATCGGTAGTAGTAAAATTTGCATTTGCAACCTTAGGTTGTGCAATTCTTTTGTTGGACATGATAGTCCACTAGAGATGCTGTATTTGCTTAAAATTTGATCCTGGAACGAGTTATATGCTTAGAATGCAGTATATGAAGATGCTCTGTTTGTTATGAATGCTTTTTTTTTTTTATAGAGCTATGGTTGGAAGCCCCACTAGGAATCCCTGAAGAGATTCGTAGTGGAAAAAAATTACAGGCATTACAGAAGCATTTTCCTTGATTTACATGGAAAGAAACTGCACTGACACTACGTTTTTTGTCACAGCAGTGCAACATCCTGAAGTCCGGTTGGCTAAGGTCAAGGTTGACTCTGACTTCACTGCTCCTTGCAACGCCTCCATACTTTATCCAGCTGATGGCGGCAACATGCATTGCTTCACAGCTGTGACAGCATGTGCGGTGCTGGATGTTCTAGGCCCTCCGTACTCTGATCCTGAAGGACGGCACTGCACGTACTACTTTGACTATCCCTTCACAAAGTTGTCAGGTACCATGTTGCTTCTTGATAACCCATGTCTCCCATGCTTTTCTTATGGTGATTGAAGTAATGCTTACCGTGAAATGCTTGAAAAATTTGACTCAGTTGATGAAATAACAGTAGCTGAAGAGGAGAAGGATAAGTATGCATGGCTTCAAGAGAGGGAGAAACCTGAGGACTTGGCTGTTGTTGGAGCACCATACACTGGGCCTGAGATCGTGGAAAACTGATCTCTGCAGCCATCTACGTCAATCCTGTAATACACATCATTTCCTCATCAACGTTGTCGTGTCAGTGGCTGCTGTGCAGCATTAGGAAACTTTACTCTTCTTTTCTTTGTTTGCTTTCTCGTCTCAGTGGGACATGGGTACTTTTGTTTTTCTTTTTCCTTACAGTTTCTGTATATAAAAGGGCAAAAAAAGAAAAAAAAAGAAAAAGAAAAAGAAAAAGAAAAGCCAAACTGCTGTAAGTGCACCGGAGGATGTTGTTTGTATCTCAATGAGAGAAATGTTAAAAGTGCGCTCTTTTGTAGTACCTTCTTTTTCCACCATATTGTCCCTGTCTCGTCGTGTTGTAAATGACTGACTTGAAACAGATTTATGACAAAGATGCCAATTTTTCCCCCTTTTTTTATTATTATCTCTAGGCCCCCTTTTTTGATGTAACAACATATGGTTTGTAATTTTTCAAGTCACTCAGGGAGGGTCGTGGGCAACAACTACATAAAGCCGAGACTTTTTTCCCTAGCCAGGGTTTGGTGCTGCCTTAGCCTAGGCCGTTGTTGGAAGATTTGAGGCAGACGGACTGTCTTTCTCCAGGGGCTTGCCTTTCTTGAGTGATCTTTTGAGACTATTGTGACAGAGACAGACAGCCAGCCTACGACATTGGTTTGACTTGACAGTTATCCCACGTCATGTCTCTCAAGTCTACGTTATCTGTGTTCATCATCATCTGCTGCGAGAAATGGTTGCTGCGTGCTTACTATTTTGAGACAAGTTTGGAGGACAGCGGCTCTATGTCTACCATGCACTCTCTGATGTTATTCCAACATGCATTTGCAAGAAAAATGATGATGCCTCCTCTTCCATACTCTAAGCATCGTTATTGCTATCAATGCAGTCATCCGTGACTCATTAATTTTTATTTTTTATTATTATAAGTATAAAATTTAATATATAATAATGTTATGAAATAAATTTTAAAAAATAATTATAAAAGAAATATAAAAGAAAGTATTTAAAGATAAAGAAAGTATTTAAGGAGGGAGAAAAAAATCTTATTAAAGTGTGTATACAAATGAATTAAAAGGACCTATTTATAGGCAAATAACTTTTTACAAGATAAAGATAATACTTAGAGATTAGATGGATTATATCCTAATCTAATCTGATTTACATTAAATCTAGATATAGATAACATGAATGGATATTCATAAAATATTCATAACACTTCTCCTTGAATATCTATTGTATTAAGAATATGCCTCATTAAAACCTTGCAAGGAAAAAACCTCATAAAAAAAAAATCCAAGTGAAGGAAAAAGAGTACATAATTCTTTTCAAGAATATGCTTATGAAATATTGCATCATTAAAAATCTTATCAAGAAAAACCTAGTGGGAATAAGAAGGGCTTTAGTGAACAAATCTGCTAGATTGTCACTTAACTGAATTTGTTGAATACTTATTTTACCTTTTTCTTGAAAATCATGAGTAAAGAAGGATTTTGACGAACTATGTGTTTTGTTCGATCGCTTTTAATATATCCTTCCTTCAATTGTACTGTACAAGTAAAATTATCCTCATATAACGTTGTTAGAATTTCTTTCTTGGTTGACAAGCTACACATTTCTCGAATATGTCGAGTTACAGATCTTAACTAGACACATTCAAAATTTGCTCACGAGTTGCTAAAATTTCTCCATATGTGAACAAGTAATCTATCTAGGATCGAGCTTTGTGTGGATCAGATGAATATTCTACATC